CAGTTTCTTTTATTCTATGTACTTCAACCGCAAGGTTTTAGGCTACCATTAGTTTATTAAGATATTTATTCCATTCCCTTGGTCTAATGCTTTTTTCGGCTTTAAAAAATATGATTGTGGAAAAAATGAGTGCAAATAACAAATGTGTGTGTATTGTTACTAAGCACAAAGCCTAGGCGCGGCAATTTGGCCCGATCCAGGTTAGGCCCAATCGGTTCTTAGAATGGGGGTGTTGAACGGCCCAGGCCCGTGTATATATAGGAGAACTCTCGACCCACTGGCGTGGGTAGGGTTCGAGTGTGTGGGTGTGTGTTAGTTTCTGACGGCTTGGAACCTGACAGTTGATAGGGTGAAATCCATATAATATATGTGATGTGATAACGTGGAGTGGTGCATCGAGTTAGTTTCGTATAAAGATACCTGATTTGTGTTCGAAAAGTCATCCTTTCTTCGACTTTAAAATAATCCCATAAAGATTTCTGTAATCTTATTTCTAATTGTAAAATTTTGATGCAATACAATCATTTACACCGGTTTCATTTTGCCTTGTATTGGCGATTACAGTGTAATTATTTGTTTTTTAGATAGATTTATACACATAATCACACTATATAATCGCATTACATTGGTGACTCACATTTTTAATTGTTGGGTTAATATACATATATACTCGTACATATGACGTAACCCATTTTATAACTGCAGTACTATCATTCTGCAATCTGCATTATTATAAGTGCAGTACAATCATCGTGCATTATACTAACACATATTATATAGTCTCTCAATTTTTTCTACTATTAAATTAACAAACATATATACTCGGCATTATACTGATGAGTGATGACACATATATACCTCACACTGTACAACATATATGGGCAAAATTGTCATTCTATTATACAAAAGCCTCATATAGTCATATTACCATCACATCAAGCTCTCTTACCGAATTTCTCCTCAGCTACGCGAACTTTCCTCAGCTCGTCTTCCCCACCTCAGTGTAATCTTTCTCTCTCCCGCATGTACTTACAGAACCATTTGTCTCTACACGCCTGTAACTCCAACTAATTAATAATCCACAAATTACATGCTTTTTTTCTTTTTTTTTTTTTTCGGTTCGATTCTCTCTGACATGTGTTCTACGTTTGCAGATATTGATTACGCTTTGAAGAAATTGGGTGTTCAGAAGAACAAAAATGGGGTCGGCGGGCAGAGAGGTGTCGATTTCACTGGACAGCGTGAGGGACAAGAATTTGATGCAATTGAAGAAGCTCAACTCCGTCCTTTTCCCCGTTCGGTACAACGACAAGTACTATGCCGATGTCCTCGCCTCCGGTGAATTTACCAAATTAGGTATGTTTTTCGTTTCTGGGTTCGTTCCCTTTTGGGATTTTTTTTGTTGTTAGAGGCCTCTTGCGTTTGGTTATATGGATACGGTCATGTTTACATGTGTTTTGAGTGGAATTGATGTCTAAATATTGCGTTTGCTTAAATGGATACGGCCATGTTTACATTTGTTTTTAGTGGCAATTGGTGTCAAAATCTTGCATTTGCTTATATGGATACGTCTACATGTGTTTTGAGTGGCAATTGATGTCAAAATGTTGTGCTTGTTTATATGTGTTTTGAGTGGCAATTGATGTCAAAATCTTGTGCTTGTTTATATGTGTTTTGAGTGGCAATTGATGTCAAATGGTAGAAATTGAGCTGTTGTTTCATGGTTTGTTAGGATTATATTGTGTTTTTGAGTGAGTTAATGGATTTTTTTTGAAGTTTTCTTGGAAGTTCAGATCTTGGTTCTGTAGATTATTCGTCTTGGTGTTGGAAGTAATATTTTTATCAGAGTTCATGCTACTGTACTTGTAGGAAAGGATCAGCCATTTTAATCCTTGGTTCTGGTAAAACGTTGTTTTAGTTGTTGAATAACTGCGTTAGTTCCAGAATTTTAACTGAATAATTTGTGCCGTGTGCTCGTGCCAGCTACGGACCAGGAAGAGGATAGTAACTGTTTGTAGGTAGTAAACATGGGGTATATTTGCTTTTGGCCTATTACATTATATTATTAAGCGTACAGGCTTTATGCCTTTTCCAGCAGCTACAGACAAGGGACTATCAGTGGTCCTTTGTTTTAGTTGAATGGAAGGTCATCCTCTGGCTGCAAAAATTATCTTATAATGAAGACAAAGTGATCTTATTTGTGGAACATGTTGACATTGTCCTACAATGTATAAGTAGGGGTGTTCATCGGTCGACCGAACCGAACTATAAAAACCGAATTAACCGAATAACAATATGACAAAAACCGAACCGACCGAAATATTGATTAAAACCAAAATAAAACCGAACCGAAATATTCCGGTCAGTTCGGTCGGTTAACCGAATTTAAAAAAAAAAAACAAATTTTTGTGGATTGTCTAGGCCCAAACATATGGGCCTTTTCATTGGACACAAACACTTACACAACTGTTCAACAACAAAAATACAACCTAAAAACACATTCAACTTAAACTTTTCATAACAAGTCCAAGTCCAAAATAAAAATAATAAAAACAGTAGCCCAAGTCCTCAAAACAAGTCCCAAAAAATAAAACAAAAGCACCAATAAAACATCCTCTCATAAACATCAGCACAAGGCCCCAAATATAGCAATAAAAGTCACCAAAAACAGCAGCAATAAGACAAATAAAGGTCCAGAAAACAGCAATAAAAGTCCCCATAAACAGCCTTGAAAAGGCCTTCAGAACATCCCGGAAAAGCCCGCAAACAGCCCTGAACTTGTGTCCGAAAAACAGCAACAATACACCTTCAAAACAACCCTCAAATGAACCTAAAAACAGCAAAATATAGACCAAAAAAAGCACCAAAAACAACAAGTGAAAACATCTTATACAAACCAATTTTTAGAACAATTGAAAAGAATGAAATTTAATAATGGTTACCTCAAATTTCACAAGTCGTACTTCACAGAATCACAATGTTTGTCCAATCCCCACTTGCGGCAAATCTAAAAATTAAACAAATTAAAAATAGGATTGCTATTAAAAAAAATATAAAGTATTTGCACATCAACAATACCTTTTTCAAGCATTTCTAGTTCATCTAATGACTCTTCAACACATAAAGGGACGCATTCATGTCGGAGCCAATCTTGTGTACATATCAATGCTTCAACAATTTTAGGAGTTAAAGAACTCCTAAATTTGTCGAGCACCCGCCCACCGGTGCTAAAGGCCGACTCCGATGCAACGGTTGATATTCGAACACCCAACATATCCCGAACCATTCTTGAAAGAACCCGAAAACGTTCGGAATTTGATTTCCACCACTTTAGAACATCAAGATCTTCTTCTCCCTCTAGCACATCCTCAAGCAAGTAAACTTAAAGTTTGGATTTTTTGTTTGCATAACCCCCGGTCGCTAACTTTTGCTTCTTGAACTTAGCTTTTAAAATGGATGTGGGCTTCGTACAAATACTTCCATGTTCGAAACTTGAAGTTGAAGTTGTTTGAACTCCAATGCTAGCATTTGCATCATTCGGATCATACTTCTTCTTATACTCTTTGAATAATTCAAAGAGATCATGCTTCACTTCCTCAAGAATTTTCTCCCCCTTTTCAACTCCATACATCTCATTCAAAGTGTAAGTCATGTACTCAAACTTTTCTCTCGGATCAAAAATGCTTGCCCAAAAGAAAATTTTATTCATGCATCCCGGCTCTCCCCAATATTTAAGAAATTTTGATTTCATTAAGTCACCCAAGTCCTTTTTCAAAAGGTCGTCGCTCTTTCTCCAATCATCCAAAATGCAACATAAATCGCTAATCTCACTAAAAAATGTATTCGAAGTGACATACAAAGAGCCCGAAATTCGTAAGGTAACATCATAAAAGTACTTCAACAATTCGGAAATTTTGCGAGCACAAGACCAATCATAAGCACTAGGAACTAAATCATCTCCCAAATCCTTCACAAAAGAAGTTTCATCTCTTTCATACTTAGCAAATGCTTTCTCAAATTTTTCCGCCGTACTAAGCATCATATAAGTCGAATTCTACCTCGTTTTGACATCAAGACATAATGACTTATTGGATTTTATACCCTCCCAATCCACACACTCTTTAAATTTTCGAAGTCTAGCGGGAGAATTTTTTATGTATCTAATAGCCGCCCTCACCCGCTTCACTGATGGTTTTACATCTTTAAGGCCCTCGCTAACAATCAAATTAATAATATGGGCAATGCACCTCATGTGAATGTATTTATAATCGGCAATGGTATCCCCCAACCCATCATTCTATTCTTCAAAAATGCCAATGCCGTATCATTTGAGCTTGCATTATCCATAGTTATCGTAAAGACATTTTTTAGCCCCCAATCAAGAATACAAGTTTCAATTGACTTCGCAATATAATCACCCTTGTGGCTCGTAACGGGAACAAAATTCAAGATTTTTTTGTGCAAATTCCAATCATTATCAATGAAGTGGCCGGTAATGCACATATAATTAATTTTTTGCAGAGACGTCCAAGTATCAGTGGTAAGACAAATCCTTTGACAATTACTTTTCAAGAAAGATTTCAACTTTGACCTCTCTTTAACAAACATATCAAAACAATCTCTTGTAACAGTGGTCCGAGAAGGAATTTTAAACCTAGGACAAGCTTTGCTCATAAACAATTTAAATCCTCGGCTTTCTACAAATTTAAAGGGCAACTCATCAGAACATATCATATATGCAATAGATTCTCGAATCTCACCATAATCATATTTCCAAGCAGATACCGAACCCGACCCAACAACACCCTCTATTCCTGGTTGCACATTTATTAAAGATTGGTTCGCATCAACTTTTTCAGGATTTTTCATGCAACCAGCCATATGAGCAAGAAGTGAAGAGGTACCATTTCGTTTTGTATGGCAAGCATATTGCTTCTCACAATGTTTGCACTGAGCTCCTATCAGTTTTTTATTTCCGTCAAGAATCATGTCAAAATGACTCCATGCCTTAGATCTTGGCTTCATTTTACGTCGCCCGACGCCTCCTTTGGCACCTCCTGTAACTTCTGATGTATCTCCAGGTTGAGTCGATATCTCATTTGGGGCATTATCTATCGGTCCCGTGCTTCCGTCTTCTTCTTGGCTTGACATCTACAATAAGGATTAGGAAAAATTAAGTCTCAAATGAGGATTAAGTCTCTTAAGTGGGCTATGCGAGCAACTTAGAATTTCCTGGCTACAATACTAGTTGCATCAAGTGTTTAACTTCATGATATAATAGAATATTTCCTCATCACAAAACATGTAAAAAATATTATACACCAAGTTCTACATTCAAGAAGAGAACAATTCTGGATTACATATAGTTTTCTGAATACTCATTAAATTTCTAGACTGAATCATTCGCCATAATGGGTTAACAGTTAACACTCCCAAGTCCCAACGCACTACCTTCGACAGACAACAAAAACGCACAATAAATATGCCAAGAGTGTGCTTATGTCGAAAGAATAATCTTTGGGAAATTTTTCTTGAAATGCCTTCTAAGTGCCGTCTCAGCTCGGGATCTAGTCAATTTCGACCTCTTCGACTTACTATCTATTAGGCTCATCTCATTCGTCCTCAATTAAAAAAAAAATAGGAAGACGAAAAAAAATATACCTTGATGGAGAGGGAGACGAAAATCTGTTGGGCCTTGATGGTGAACCGTGTGCACGGAAAGGCGGCACCTCCAACTGCAAGCTCAACGCCCTCGACCGACAAGTCGAGGACCGGCGTCAATTCTTGACCGGACCGAAGCAGACGCAGACAATTTGGGGCCGAGGTAGAGGCGATGATTGGAGCGACTGCGAGTCTGCGAGAGTGAGAGAGTGAGAGAGGCGAACGAGTGTGATTTTGGAGGAGAAGATGATTGGGGACGACGGCAAGAGCAGCGATTTTGGAGAAAGGAAAGAATCAAAGAAAGGAGCGACTGCGGCGAGTCTGCGAGAGTGAGACAGAAGCCAACGAGTGTTTTACAGATCTAGGGTTATCAAATATAATATATATTATTATGATTTATGATATATACAAATATAGTATATTATATATATTATTTCGGTCGGTTTGATTAATTCGGTTTTTTGATGACTGAAACCGAAACCGACCGAATTAACCGAAAAATAAATTGACTAAAACCGAAAACCGACCGATTTTGTTAAAAACCGAACCGAATTTTTCGTTTCGGTCGGTTTTTTCGGTTTTGGTCGAATTATGCACACCCCTATGTATAAGCAAGAAAAAAAAACGGGGAAATGGAAAAAGGGAAACCTAGGGTGCTTGTATGACTAGGACAAAGCTACACTTATAAGGTTGTGTTTGGTTAGCATATAAGCTAGCTTATAGCTTATTTGATTAGTTTTTAAGCTTTCTGTATTCAAATAAGCTTGGTTTGGTAGGACAAACTTTTTTAAAAAGCTCGAGCTATCTCATAAACTTCCTCCTTGGGTAGCTTTTCAAGTATGCCCATTGAAATTTTTAATCAGCTAACTCTGCTTATCATCATCAGCTAATTTTACTAAATACTTTTATCATATAAGTTAGTTTTTCAGCCATAAGTCATTATCTATCAACTATAAGCTCGAAATTCACTTAAAAGCTATAAGCTAGGTTATCAACTATATTTATCAATACTTAGCTATACTTATCAATACTTATCACATACGTTTACCAAACATTGAAAAACTGTCGTGTTGTGTTTGGGTTTTACATACATATCTGAACATGGTTATTTCTATCTTTGCAGCCTATTATTGTGACATTTGTGTTGGGTCCATTGCATGCCGCGTTGAGAAAAAGGAAAGTGGTGGTATTCGTGTATACATAATGACATTGGGCGTTTTGGCTCCATACCGTGGGTTAGGTGTTGGTAAGTTATCGTCTTGCTTCATTTTTTAAGCTTTATGAGAAACAAAATTTGGGTTATATTTATATATTTCAGTGGGTTAAGTGGGGCTTATAAACACTTGTTTTGTTGTTCAATGACTAGTTAATTCCTCGACGATTTTCCTATTTTTCCGTGCCTGATTTTAATTTTCTTTGATTCTATACTATCCTTGAATTTTACTTTACATGGGTTTTTCTGAGGTGCTGTTCATAGATGAGTCATTTCTACAAATATAAGGAACCTCGAGAAGAGGGAGTATGTGTAACTTTTAATGATTCAAGTATTTTTCTTTTGGGTAGTTGAGCAAAACCACTGGGGTATATTGTAAACATCGACACTACTTTTTTAGAAAATGCAACAGATTGGTATAACAGTTGTAATTTCAAATGATCAATACACTTTTTGTTTGCAAGTGAAAGTAAAGACACCAGGGGTGGCCTTTCTTGCTGTTTCTTTTGGATTTCTAGCAACAATATCAAAGTATATCAAATTTTATATAAGCTCTCGTATGGCCAAAGCTGCTTGGGATAATAATTTGTTTATAATGAACTTAATATCTCACTGCTGGATTTTTTTGTACTAGGCACAAAGCTATTGAATCATGTGCTTGAAATTTGCATGAAACAGAGCATTGGTGAGATCTACTTGCATGTGCAGACCAACAATGAAGAAGCCATCAAATTCTACAAGAAATTTGGGTTCGAGATAACAGAAACAATCCACAACTACTATACTAATATTACACCGCCCGATTGCTATGTTGTTACCAAGTTCATCACCCAAGCCGAAACGAATAAATAGTTTGTTGAAGCTGGATTTTATTCAACGGAATTTTGGGCGGGACTTGGAAGAGTGTCGAGTTTTATCATTCATTATTTGTCTGAAGTGAGTCGGAGAAAAAAGTAAACATTTTATTTATATGGTTTCTGGTACAAATTTTACAGGACTCTTAAGCCATTGATGGTTTTTCATTGTATGAGCAAAAAAGTTTGATGTTCAATGTAGAAATGCTGGACAGAAGATGTCATGTTACTTTGTACCCCAACACTAGTAAACCCATAAAACCTTAAAACCCTTGTTAAAAACATCAACTACTTTCTACAGAAACCGCACTAATTACAATAGAAAATGTGGAAAGGTCCCTCTCATCATTACTTGGACGACTTGTTGATGAGCGACTTACGAATATGTGGGATTCCTGCAATTGTTCCCTTTATGAGAGTGTGGAGCTCCTCATCCCCACGTCAAGACGGCATCTCGCATAACTCATTTGAGATAATCAACCGGCAGCAAACCGAAAGACACAACGGAAGAAGGAAAAAAGGACAAAAGGGTACATATATCAGCTTGGTACACTTGCAGTTAACAGCATCAAGATTTCCTGGTCAAAAAGGACAAAAGGGTACATATATCAGCTTGGTACACTTGCAGTTAACAGCATCAAGATTTCCTGGTCAATAACCGCTGAGTATGGGATAATGAAGATGAAAATTAAAGTATCAGCAAATGTTAGGAATTGTCTCGAAATTTCAATTTGACCCCCGAGTATGGCATAATTCACATTTTGTTGGTGGATTTTGTCGAATTTTGAGATTGCGCCTCATTTTTTTTTTTTTTTTCTTCTTCTTCNTCTTTTCTTCTTCTTCTTCTTCTTTTTTATGCATATCAAAATTCAACAAATTGGACTGACTTTAACTGGACTACTTGACTAAACTATACTGTTTAAAAGATGTTAGAAAATTTGTATCACAGCCAAAAAGTTTTCTTTTTTCATATCACATGAGTGAAATATTTATGATATTAAAAAATATATATTATAGTATAAGGCGGTCGAACTATTAGGTGGGTCCATCCGTGATACTTTTATAATAAAAATACACACTTATTCTATTAAAAGTCATAGTTTTTTATATTGCTTGTTAGAGTATTATATGTCAATATGTTGAAAATACAGACTCTGAGCATTACTAATAGTAAATTACAATTTTGATTTTTAAACAAATATCAACAACTTAATGAGGAAAAATTGAAATCGTGAGCAATTACTGCAATGATATTTTGTGATTAAAATTGTGTATAGTAAATGGGAAAATGGAATCTTACTTTTAAAANAGATGCAACATTTTAAGATGAGTGTCTCCTAAAATTAAGTTTGGTACAATTTGATAGTTTATATGACAACACGTTTATTAGCTATTTTGCAACTACACATATCATGAGAACGAGCTTTATTCAACGCAAACAAAAATGAAATGAACTAGTACTACATAAGAAAAAAGAAAATGTACCAAGAAAGTAGCCTTGTAAACGAGCCGAGTGCTCGAGTTCGGCTCGTCAAATAAACGAGTTAGAAATCGAGCTCGAGCTTGGCTGTTTAAGACCTCGAGCTCGAGCCGATCTTGAACTTAACGAGCTAAGCTATAAAAAATTATATAAGAATTATTTTTTCGAGTCTTATCGAGTTAACCAAACGAACTTTAAATGAGCTCAAGTTCGGCTCATTAAGGCCTTGAACTCGAACCGAGCCGAGTCAGACTCATTTAATTTAACAGCACTACAAGCAAGTGATAATTTGGTAAATAACTCCTTTTTTTTCGATTTCTTTTAGTTCATTTTCACTGAGTTATCCACGAATAAAGCTCAGTTCGACTCTTGAATGCCCAAGTTCAACTCTTTTGTTTACTTAATCGAATTTGGTTAGTAATAAGTCAGGCCTAATTTGTTTTCGCGAACAATTTACTATTTTTATTCTTTTATATATTTTAAATAAAACATTAGACCTAAACTTGTTCCATCTCGTGTTCATAAACAACTCATTTTATATTTAGATTTACTAAACAAGTAAAGTTAAGTTGAACTTTCACCAACTCAATCGAGCCGGACTCGAGTGAGCCTTTTATTTATTTATTAAATAAGCTAAACTCGAGTTCGCTAGTATATTAAACGAGCTCAACTCAGAGTTATTCTAACTCACCTAGAATAAGACGACAATCTTGTGCGTACCATTTTCTTATATATAATACAATCAAGCATAACACATGCACACATTCGTTCGAGTCTCCCCGTTTCTTTCTTTCTCCACCAAGCATATTCTATTTCAGAGTCATCACAAATAGCAGCGACTGACAGAGCGTGAAAATAGGAGGAGGACAACAAGTAAACCGTAGTACAGAAAAATTTCAAGAGAAAAAGGTGGAGAATTTTTACAAATTTTCCCTTTTTGTCTTTTGCCCTTTACAAATTTTATTTCCCCTCCACTCCATTATCCGGCGGCGGTTTTGCCTGCCGGAAAAAAACAGAATTTTGCATGACGTCGACATTCTTCTTCTTTTTCTTCGGATCATCGTCGTACGTCTGAGAAAATTTGGAGAACACCCACATTGATTTTTTCGATTTCTTCTTCGACACTTGATTTGATTCATTGTGGGTTTCATTTTTTTCGTGGGATTAAACTTTAAAGGTTCGATTTTTATTTTGGTTTTTGGGTTGTGTGTTGTGTAGTGGATGCTATTTATTGTTTGTTTCGATGGGCTTTCGTTTTCTTGTAAAAATGACGGTGTTTGATTAATGAGATTTGTCTCAGGTTGTTTTATTGCCATGAAAATGGCAGTATATGCTACAGAAAAGCTTGTTTTTATGTGTTATTGGTTAATAGTCGTTCAAAGTTCATTACTTTTTTTATTGACATGACAATGACGATATATACTACAGAAAAGCTTGTTCCTGCGTGTTCTTGGTTAATAGTCGTTCAAAGTTTGTGACTTTTTGCTCCTTGATGGCTAAATGGTTGCATTTTGGTTTTTCATGTTATCAGATTCGATTTTCGATTGATTTGATTTGCGGGTTTTTTCTGTCTGTCTCGATTCCATTTTCAAAATATAGAATCTTAGATTTTTCTGTTCTCAAAATTTTGGTCAATTTTCTTGGATACTGGATTTGATTCATTGTGGGTTTCGTTCTTTGTGGGATTGAACTTTAAAGGTTCAACTTTTATGTTGATTTTTGGGTTTTATGTTGTGTACTGCATGCTATCTTATTGGTTGCTTTGATGGGCTTGCGTTTTCTTGTAAAAATGGCGGTGTTTGATTAATGGGTTTTGTCTCAGGTAATTTTATTGCCATGAAAATGGTGGTGTATGGTGTGGAAAAGCTTGTTCTTGTGTGTTTTTGACTGATAGTCATTCATAGTTTATGACTTATTTGCTCCTTAATGTCTAAAGAGGTTGCATTTTTTTTATTTTTTATTTTTTATTTTTTATCAAGTTCGATTTTCAATTGATTTGATTTGCAGGTTTTTCTGTCTGTCTCGGTTCCATTCCATGACCAAAATATAGTCTTAAAGTGCTTTGTTCTCGTATTTTTGTTTAATTTTCTTTTTGGATTTGTGGAATCTTTGATAATGAATACGGCACCTTATGAACGAATGATATGGTTTAAGGGGTTTGATATGTTGTTGGTGAGATTATTGTTGACTAATGTATTTATGATGATCATGACTTAAAATTTTATGGCAGATGGTCAATGGATGTTGCTTGACTTGCTGTCTATCTATCCTCGTGATTATGAATAGTATTATTGTTTACTTTGTAAGCACATATTGTTCATGTTATATATATTTATCATGATATTGATGAATATGATACTCGAAACTTTATTGAAAAACAGAGGGAATTGTGTGATCTTTGGTGTTTGACTGTTTGTTCTACATCGTGATTGACCATTCACCTAAAAACGTGTTTGCTACGTTTTTTCCTTTCTTTTTACTTGTAACAGTTCCATTTTAATCTTCTGCATGTTTGCGCGTCATCATGCTCAAGTGAATTAATTAAAGAATTTTTTCTACATCGATCAGTAGATTTTCGTCTATTTTGCAAGGTTCAAAGTGTCAAAATGTTTGATCATTAAAAAACTCGGCATTCGGTAATCATTAATTCATTTTATTCGTATGTTTACTCTAATATATGTTTCGTTAAGGTCATATGCTGTGAAAAAAAATGAATATAATCTCATTTCATCAAACATTAGCATTTTCTTTGCTCAAAATGCATCCTTTGATCTTTCGAGCCGCTTACTTTTTGTGCTCGTTTATTGCAGCCTAAACTGCTTGATTTCTAGCCAGCACAATGGATAACATAAAGACTCCTTTCAAGGGAATGGCAAATGATGTTAACGGGCGGCTAAAATGCTACAAGAAGGATTGGATCAATACGTGCGGTTGTGGTGCAAGGTGCATTTTCTTTTTGTTATTTTCTTCTTTGGAAAATTAAAACATAACTAATTCAACGAGATATTATTAAACTTACTGTTTGCAATTTTTTCATTCATTTATCAGGATTTTAGCTCCAACAGCATACATTTTCTTTGCTTCTACTCTTCCCGTAATTGCCTTTGGCGAGCAATTAAGTCGAGAAACAGGTTAGACCCTTCAAATTTTCTAATTTGCCAATTTTTTTCCCGCACTTTTTTTCCAAAGCAACTATTATAACTTACGGTCGAACATAATTCTTTCCCAAAATAATAGATGGGAGATTAAGCCCGGCCGAGACACTTGTTTCGACAGCTATATGTGGAATTATCCATTCGATTTTCGGTGGGCAGCCATTGTTGATTTTAGGAGTTGCCGAGCCAACTATTATAATGTATACTTACTTGTACAACTTTGCAAAGAGAAGTGTTGGAACCGAGCTCTATTTAGCGTGGGCTGCATGGTAAAAGCAAGAATCATCATAATAAAATGTGTTTATTTTCTTTACTCTGAAATTATTTTTGTAGACATTAGGTAAGTACTTAAAAGATTATCTTGTTTTGATTCATACAATACAGGGTATGTGTTTGGACAGCCTTATTACTCTTTCTTCTCGCAATATTTAACGCTTGTACTATTATCACTCGATTTACGAGGGTGGCTGGAGAACTTTTCGGCATGTTGATATCTGTTCTTTTCATTCAAGAAGCCATCAAGGTACTAAAATATTTTCTGCTCTTAATTAATTTATCGGAATACATTACATTTAAAATTTAAGATATCGTTTGATTTATTGTCAAGTTAGATTACACTATAAAAATGTAAAGAAAATAAAATTCACAGGGTGTGGTGAGCGAATTCGAAATTCCGAAAGGCGAAAATGCCTCTGAAGAGCAATACAAAATCTCATGGCTTTATACCAATGGATTGCTCTCGGTCATATTCTCATTCGGAGTGCTTATAACTTCCTTAAAGAGCCGAAGTGCTCGGTCCTGGCGTTACGGTACAGGTGAGTTATACGAGACTATTGCATGATAATTATTAGTTGAAACTAACTTAAACTTAACTTTATTCCATTTGGTTGATATTTTTTTTTTAGGCTTCTTTCGGAGTTTCATTGCGGATTATGGGGTCCCACTTATGATTGTTGTTTGGACTGCACTATCTTATAGTGTACCGAACAATGTTCCTTCTGGAGTTCCGAGGAGATTGTTTGGTTCACTCCCGTGGGAAAATGAATCGTTGTACCATTGGACTGTGATCAAGGTACTAAAATCGGTAGCAACTTTTACTTCCCAAACGCGGCCTTAAGTTGTTTTTACGAAGAAAAAAACAAACATTTGAAGTAGAATGTAGATGATAAAGATTGAAACTAGTTGATCAAATGCATAATTTGCATTTCGATAGATAAAGATTATTTGAATAAAATGCATAATTTGCAGGACATGGGAAAAATATCTGTCGGGTATATTTTCGCGGCCTTAGTACCGGCTGTAATGATAGCGGGTTTGTACTTTTTCGACCACAGTGTAGCTGCACAGATGGCACAGCAAAAGGAGTTCAACTTGAAAAATCCATCCGCTTATCATTGGGACATCTTTTTGCTAGGCGTCATGGTATCGAATACAACATTTTAAAAAACATTAAGGAAACAGATACCGAATATCTACACCATTTTTTTTTAAAAAAAAAAGAAAAGAAAAGAAAAGAAAAATTGTGACTTTTTGTCGTTGCTATAGACTCTTCTTTGTGGATTACTCGGCCTCCCGCCTTCAAATGGTGTACTTCCTCAGTCTCCTATGCACACGAGGAGTCTCGCAGTCCTTAAGAGACAGGTTGAACTTGGACATGATTCTAATATCCTTTTCGGTAACTTTTTCCAAAAATATTCAAGTAAGAAGAACACATTGTGATTAATATTTTTTTTTTGGGTTCGCAGTTGATTCGGGGGAAAATGGTGAAACGTGCAAAGGAGGGAATGAAACAGCAAGTGAGCCACTCGGAGATATATGGAAGGATGCATGCTGTGTTTGTCGAGATGGAAAATGCTCCTTCGGTAAGTGCTGCTTTAAAGTTGAAGTGGTGGTTAGTTAAAATTATGTGAGTGGAAGAACAGTGAACTAAAGTTGATGTGATGTGTAATATATTGATAATATTGAGGATAGTGGTGGTGGGTTAAAGTTGAGTTAGATTTTAATTAAAAAAAGGTGATTGGTTAAAAATTATTAGATTTTCTGGAAAAATCTTGTATCAAAACATCCTCTAAATAACTTGTACCTTTCTTGCAGCACATGGTCGATAAAGAGCTGGCGAATTTGAAGGAAGCTGTCTTGAAACACGACGAGGCCGATGGAGAAATAAACGACAGATTTGATCCGGAAAAGTGCATTGACCTCCATTTGCCTGTGCGAGTGAACGAGCAAAGGGTGAGCAATTTCCTACAGTCAGTGCTCGTGGGACTTGCCGTGTGTGCTATGCCCGTAATCAAGATGATACCCACCTCAGTTTTGTGGGGATATTTTGCTTACATGGCCATCGATAGCCTCCCGGGCAACCAGTTCTGGGAAAGGCTGCTCCTCATGTTTGTACCTCCACGCCGTCGTTTTAAGTAAGAAAAACATGCTCGAGGGTGAAAATCGGGATTTTTTGTGTGTGTATGTGTGTTAAACAGTTAACTCACACAAAATTGAGAAATAATATGGTGGTTGCGCTGATTTTACAAAAAACTGCAGAAAAATTTGACTTTTGGTCATTTCACCAGCAAAAGCCGGTTAATTTGACCGGCTGCTGAGTTGGATATGTTAGGCGGCTGCCATGTGTACGAAAAAAAATGAAAAATAATATCCACGTCAGCAACAAGTCACAGGGACCGGCTTTTGTCCGTGGAAGGACCAAAAGTCAGGTTTCTTTTGCAATTACAGGATGTTTTGTACAGTCACGTGATTACCGGACTATTTTTTAATTAGGTGTCAGTTAGAGGACTAAATCTCCAAATTTTTCCACTAACAATCGATCACTTTCTTCATTTGGCAGAGTTATTGAGGATACGCATGCTTCGTACGTGGAGTCGGTGCCGTTTAAGTACATCTTCATATTCACGATGTTCCAGCTCAGTTATTTCGTGATGTGCTTTTTGATCACGTGGATACCTATTGCCGGCATATTATTCCCGATGCCTTTTTTCCTCTTAATAAGCATACGCAAAAACTTTTTGCCGAAGTTTTTTCCACCTCAATACCTTCAAGAGCTTGATGCTGCCGAGTATGAAGAGATTGTCGGGCACCCGATGAGAACCCGAAGCCACACTCGCAGGGTAGCTACATTTTTTCTACTTTTTTTGTGAAAAAAACTACATTTCATTCACGCAAAAGTGCACTTGGTTTAACGTCATAGCAATTTTAGTTCCAAGGTTTTAACTTTTTGTCTTTTTGTCCGTAATATTTTGCTGCAATTTCAACCAAAATTGCAACAAATTTTTAAGTTATAGGACTTATATTGTTAATAACAAATCTATAAATATGGAAATTTGTTGCAATTTCAATCCTTAAATACTGAAATTGCAATTTCAGTATTTAAGGATTGAAATTGCAGCAAAATATTAAATCACAAGACCAAAAGGGTTAAACGCTAGAATTTTGAGACTAAAAATGCTCTAGCGTTAAACCAACACGACTTAAAATGCAATTTAGCAGACATCGATTTTGATTGATAAAAACTTTGTTTCGTTATAATATTTATTACAGGATGGCGGTACATCTGATGATGATAGCGTGGAAGAATCTCCTGACTTGTCGTCTTCTGAGATTTTAGACGAGATGACGACACGCAGAGGCGAAGTCAAGCGCAGGTCCATGAGCTTCAACGATAAACAATTTCAGGTTCGGTTCTTGAGTTTAGTTTCGTTTTCTTATTTCGAAACATAACAAAAAAAGGGTTACACTTTTTTGCGATCTGATCAAATTTAGAGGGTGATTTCAAATAATAATAAGGTGCATTTATTTTATATATTACAGGCTCTTCCTGCAGAGTCCAACGGGATGTGATAAACGAACGTTCGCTGAAAAAACGAGTTGGGTTCAAAATTTTGTCTGGAAATAGCATGTAATCGCTTGTCGTTTGTGACGAATGCATGCAACATATATAGGAAGAACAATAAAAAACGTTACACGTGAGATGGAATGGCGATGACGAAGATTGAAGGGAGAAATGGTCAAATCGAACACACGGTTTCTTATTTTTACGCGACTCAGGAAGTTTNAATAAATATTATGTTGGGTCTAAACAAGTTGTGTGAGAATAAATATTTTCTGGAGTAATATGGTTTTTTTATTTTCTTCTCTTAGGTGTCCCCGTGACTGCTTGAAGTTAATTTATCAAAGATTTTTGTAAACCCAGAAAAAATTTATCAATTCCAATATCTATTCACGTATGATGGAAAAATATAAAAATTCATTTCTTTTCTAATTACTTATTTATTTAATTTTTTTTTTGTGAATTAGGTTTTTTTATCTTCTACAGATGGTAAAGCCAAAATGTTTTTTTCAAATTAAGTTTTGAATTAAAGCCAAAAGGATTCTGATTTACCGATTAAAAGAAATTCTGACTGCTAATAATGTTTGCTAAAAATGTCTGGATTTTTGCTAAAAATGTCAAGGGCCTCCAAGCAAAAAATGTCTGGGGCCTCCAAATATCTGGAGACGGCCCTGAAGTTAGTGGATTGTTATGAACCGAGTTCTTGCTTTAACTCTGATTGACTGGAGAGAGAAGTCAGTTTGTTATTAAGATTCATCTGAGTTTTGTTACTGCTTTTGCTCTGATAGTTAATTTCTGATTATTGTCATCTTGCTATGTTTTGAGTTGCTCTGATATTTTGATTATTTGACCTGTTATACTCTGATTTTCTGGTCTTAAGCTCTATGGTTTGATAGTTTATAGTTAGATGACCTATGTTGGTTCATCTACACTGCTCCGAGCTTGACTTGTCCTTTGAAGGTTATGTTTCAAGAAACGGGTTTTCGATCTATATGCCAAAGGGGGAGATTGTAAGAAAATATAATTTGGCATTAATTGAAAATATTATTTAATTATCATATTTGTGTTCTTGAAATAGGTATCATGGAATTAATGCTTGAAGAGAAAGGGAAGATCTTTTAATCTTAACTTTCCTATATTTTAGTTATTCTCCTATTGTTCCTCTAACTTGTAGGTAAAGGAAATATATTAGATTTTTTTTTTTTTTTTTTTCAACGACAAATAAAAGTCAAATAATCCCTCTCTATATATTAATTGAGAACGTGCTGAGCCTATGTGGCAGACTCGCATGCTTCGGGATCATATGTGGTAAAAATACATGCTTCGTTATTAGGCTTGAGTAGATTTAGTTTACTTCTAATCCAAATATATTTAGGTTCGGATTATCTATAATATGTTGATTATTTATGGTACGGGTGGGCGCCGGTCGGGACGGTCTTGGATTTGACTTGTCCGGATACCCATCCTACTTTTATGAATCCGTCCATGAACGAAGCACTGTCGCCACCCATGTAATACATGGGTGTTGTACTAGTAGTATCCGGTAACCAAATGGTTACAACCCTTACAACCTGCTAATGCAGGAGAAGTTATTGAGAGAGATTTGAGCTCCGTACAAATGGCGTCGGAGATTTCCAAATGGATCGTGGACCCGCAAACCGTTGCCGCGCTCCACATGAAAACCTTGTCCGGTCGCCTCAGTAAATACGGTAGCACGAATTTGTGTTCCTAATCGAGGAGCTTTTTTATCTTTTTTTTTTTTTTTCTTTTTTTGTCTGAATTTTTAATTTGTTTTGTGCGGAATTAGGGCTTCACTACGACGATCTGTACGACCTTGATGTAAAGGAGGCGCTTAATCGGCTGCCGAAGGAGGTGGTGGATGCCAGGAACAGCGCCTGAAGCGCGCCTTGGACTTCCCCCTGAAGCACGATTATCTTCCGGAGGATCTTCAGGTAAGAGAATATTCGCAGCTGAAAGTGAGAGTTATAGAATTATACATTAAAACTTTATTTTCGACCTTTCATGAACCGGGTTCACATGCAGTTTGTTTTGGTTTACCAAAAGCCATACCATGGTTGGATATTCCCTAATTTCCACAATCAACTTATCATTTTTTGACAAATAATCACAAGCACAACATTCCAAAGATTCGGTATACATGTATATTGGTCTCACCTTTTAACCTTTTTTTTTCTTTCCATATTGAACTTTAAAAATTAAGTCAATGTATAAGTATGTGTGCATAGTTCTTGGAAATAAATATTATAGTCCCAAAACAATAAATTCAAAATTCTCATAAATCTCGAAAGCAACATAAAAATGAATGAAAGAATTGGTGCCCAGGTTATTACTTACATAGCTACACTACAATTATTAATTTTTTAATGTTAGATTAACACACACTTGATCTAATAGTGAAAAATCTGAATATGATTTTTTTTTTTACATAAAGTAAATATGATATCAAATAAACTAAACTACTAAATATTAAACAAAAAAAAGACATATAATTGAGAAATATTGTTTTTTTTTCTTTTTCAGTTTTGTCATGAGGACTGATTTGGGCCATGGATAATAATTGTCCGACTAATTTGGCCCACTACACAAACACCAAAACCCGACCCGACCTTTGTGACCCACAAAGCGGCCATAAACGTCGACAAACGCCGTTCAACATTTCACACTGCACTGAATACTTCCGAAGGAGTAATTTACTGAGAGAGATTTGAGCTCCGTACAAATGGCATCGGCGATTTCCAAATGGATCGTGGACCCGACCCGAAACCCGCTGGCCGCGCTCCACATGAAAACCTTGTCCAGTCGCCTCAGCAAATACGGTAGCACGAATTTGTGTTCCTAATCGAGGACCTTTTTTCCTTTTTCCCTTTTTTTCTGAATTTTTTATTTGTCGTGTGCGGAATTAGGGCTTCGGTATGACGATCTGTACGACCCGATGTACGATCTTGATGTGAAGGAGGCGCTTAATCGGCTGCCTAAGGAGGTCGTGGATGCCAGGAACCAGCGCCTGAAGCGCGCCATGGACCTCTCCATGAAGCACGATTATCTTCCGGAGGATCTTCAGGTAAGAGAATATGCGCAGATGAAAGTGAGATTTGGTTTATTGTTTGTGTTTGCTGTTTTGGTGTAGGCTGATTTAGCAGTTTGAGTGATTGAGGAATTGGGTGGTTGAATGTGTGGGCTGTTTTATTTAGTTTTTGTTCAATTATTTTGTGTTTCTTGGCGGTTTGCCTTTGTGAACTATGGATTGTTGAGATGACTATGAAATTGATTTCATTGTTTGTGTTTACGGTTTTGGGGTGGACTGGTCTAGCAGTTTGAGTGCCTGAGGAAATGTGGGTTGTTGAATGTGTGAGCTGGTTGCTTTTTTTTTTTCACTTAGTTTGTGTTTCTTGGCTGTTTGCCGATGGCTATGAGTTCAGATGATGATTTACTGGAAAAGGTGATTTGATATGCCTACTTATAGTAATAGCATTGATTTATATATGTGTATTGCAATGATTCATATGCATGTGGCTTAATTAATGAAATGAACACCGTCAATAGCACGGCACACTGACATTAGCATCTTTGAATTATTAAATCCCTGCAAATTATAGTGTGAGCTGATTGCTTTAAGGAAGATTCTATCCTTCAGGGGGTTTATCATCGTTGAATTACATGCGCACACACACGCCTGTAGGGTGAAATTTACCTTGCTTTATGATGAAAATAGAATTTCTTTCCACCTCTGAATTGGTTTACTGGCAAGACGACTTATGTGAGTGGGTTTCTTTTACATGCTTAACTGACACCCATGTTTACGCTATTAGGTGTTTTTTTCCTTGCATCTGCTAACAGACACTCTGTTGGGTTGTTTCTTGCTATCGATGTGCCTTTTTGCTGATACTTTTGTCATCCCTTTTGTGGATTTTGTGAAATTTATGCTTCCACTACACAGCAGCTTTATAGTATTTTACCTTGGTATAGAGTAAGATCTTGACTTGTACAAAGCTGTGTATGTTATGACATCATTTCTTTTTTCACAGGCTATGCAGACACCATTTAGGAGCTATCTACAGGATATGTTATCTCTGGTAAGTGTCTGTAACTCCATGACTTGATTCTGTAACTCCATGACTTGATTCTGAATGCGGAACTATCATCTTCATATGTGAGATGGCTCTAAGTTTACTGTTTCTTACATACACACCATTTTACAATATGAATGAGTGCTTATTGTTAGTTCTCTTCATCTGTTGTTGAAGTTACTGTGACGAATTTTCTATTATTAGCCAACGTGGGCCAATTGTTTGGCATTAGGGTTTCAGTTTTTCATAATGGGTGATTGCGGAACACTTTTTATGATGAGACTCTACCACTGGATCTTTAGTTAACGTTTCCGAAGTAATTTTGAAACATAATTTTGAAACCCAATACAGTCGTGCTATGCATTAAGGCCGGGGCATTGCCATTTGTCGGGGGGAAACCCTGGGCCACGGCCCCCCCTAACTTTGTTTTTTTAGAAAAAGTTCTTCCGAAAAAGGTTAAAAAAGACTATATGCTTCGTTTCATGCCAATTACTTTCTTTAACTAGCCATTTTTTTTTATCATGCAGCGATCTCGACCACTGAACAACTGATTCTCATGTTTTTCGATTTGATTTTATTATGGTCTAATATACCTTTACACTATGGTTTTCTGTAGGTTAAGAGAGAGAGCGCCGAGCGTGAAGCACTCGGAGCGTTGCCACTTTACCAACGCTCCATTCCTTGAGTCAACTACACACCCTCTTATTGGTTAGATTAAAGGGCAAGCAATCCGTAACCCTTTTTAGTGACAAATGGTGGGCTACCAAGTTTTCACCTGAACATTATTTTCTTATCAGTAGATTTTACGAGCAAGAAATAGTCTCTTCTCTATGGCGCGGTTCTGTGTTCTAGTTCGCTTACTATATTTTGGTCTGATGCTTTATGGAATTCTGTATTTGCATTTTCTGGAATCTGAGAAGCCTTGCTGATAATATTTCCCTTGTCTTTCACCACTGGTTTTGGTGTTCGGGTTATTATTGTTATTTTTTTTTTTAGGTTCTAAACAATGTTCAACTTCCAAGTTCCAACTTTAGGGTGTGTGTTCGTTTGGGTTTTTGAGTGACATTTTAAGACTTTTTGAGATTTTAGATTGTTTAAGATTTTCAGATTTTGGATGAGTTCTGTGAAATTTAAGTCGGGAGGTTTTGAGATTTAAGACTTTTTAGAATTTTCGAATTTAGGAGGAATCATGTGAAATCTTAAATCTAGAGATGGGATTTGGAGTGGTATTTAGTATATGTTTTTTCTTTTGAAATTTAAGCAAATCTTAGAAAGTATTAACAAATCCTAGTGTCAAATAAGTTAAATATCTCTAAATGTTGTAAGACCTTTTAACTCTTATTTTTCTCTTTTTCTCCTCTTTTTTTTTTACAAGGCATTTTTATGAACTTTTTCCCTTTTTGTTTATTTTTTATATGAAATTTTTATGGAAAAGTGTACTTGTATTTACGGTTGATCTTATGTTAGGTTGATATAGCAAGTAAGCCGATATACTTCTTTTAACGAATTTGCATACTTTTATTAAAAAAATATCATATTTCAAATAACAGTATAAACAAAATTATGGAATTTGACAGTCTAAATGTGTATTTGTGTTAAAATAGTATGATGGATCAATCCATCTAACAATTAAGAATAAAACCTACGAGTTAACTGTGAATCAGTATTGTATGTATCCCAACCATAGCTTTTTAACCCTGGACCAGCCCGATGGATCGACTTGGGACACAGTCGACCCGGAGCTAGAACCATCCCGAGCGGGTGCTTCAGACCGGGTGATAGAGGATGTTTGGATATAAAAATTTTTGGTTTTATTTAGATTTTTTGGTTTGGTTTAGTTAATTTTGAAAAAAGTGTTATAGTTAGTTGTTAGTGAAAATAATATCTAAAATAAAATAATTAAAATTGATTTGATGTAAAAGTAAGAGAGATGATATTTGAAGTGATGATTAATTGAAATTAAAATTGTGTGAGTGGATGAATAGTGAATTAAAGTTGATGTGGTGTATAAGAATTATTGGTTGATATTATTTAATCATATTGATAAGATTGATTATAGTAAAGTTTTGTTAAAAAAAGTGAATGAATTAAAAATGTTTGAATTTTTTTGAGATATTTTGTATTCAAGCATCGTCAAACACACCCAACCAACTTCGCCTTAACCCGATTGACCCGAACATCAGCTTGGTCGGGTCAACTCGATTTGACATAGTCACTATATATACATTTTTTTGAAATATTTTAATTTAAAAAATGGAAACTATGTGTGTTTGTGTGTGTATATATATATATATTTATGGTAAATATTCATTATAAAATATAATATTATTAACACTTTGATGCAAAAAAATTATGTACAAACTACTTGTTTATTTACTTTTATGTATAAATAAAATATTATGCATATCATATTAAAAATTTTATATAATCAACAACTTGACTTGTTGACCCTGAGTCTCCTGCCCGGATCGATTATGTGGCGGGTTTAAAAACTATTATCCCATCCCAACAACGTTTATATATCAAAAGAAAAATTAATTAACACAATAAAATACCATGAAACTTTATTTATTAAATAGGCCCAAACGCATTTGTGGATTTTGAAAGACCAATTTATTCCCAACAAATATTGTAGAGCGGCACATAGCCCAAAATTGAAAAACCCAATAACGGTCATATTTCAAAATTCAAACAATAGCACCGAACACGAGGAAGGCACGTGCAGCACCGAAATCTGATCCAACGGTTCACATAATCGCGTCAGCGTAAAGCTACCCGATGAAGAAATTTCCAAAACCTACAGGCTACATCTTTACAGGGCTCCTCATATATATATATACCCTCGAACACACTCACACACTTGATAATCTGTCTCTCGAACCATCTTCACAATCTCCACTCTTGTTTTTCAAGGAGCTGCAAAACTCTCATGGTAGGCCTCTCCTAGTTTGATTCTTTAATTTTAGCTGCCGGCTGCTTGGGCGATTTACAGCTGTTTGTTAGATTTGTTTGTAGGTTAGATTGTTTTTCATTTAATTTTATGTCGTGTGTCTGTGATTTCTGCTGGGTTTGTAGGCGCTGCCGAATCAGCAGACGGTGGAGTACCCGAGCTTCAAGCTTGTGATTGTCGGCGATGGAGGCACTGGTGGGTTTTTCTTTTCTTGTTTTATTGTTTAACTGGTCGGATCTAGAATATTTCTTTAGATGTGCAGCTTTTTTTTCTAGTCTGATTGTGGTTTTCATTTTGGTGATGTGGAAGTAGCTGATTGATTGAAATGAACGGTATTCACGATTAGGGGAGCTGAGTAATTGTGGCCAGTGCTGTTGTTTTTGTTTTGTTGAGTTGATTCCTTGTAAATTTCGACATGATTCTATGCATATTTGTTGACATGTGGCTTGAGATTTGGAAATGCTTTGATTTTGTGGGTTTAGGGTTTTTTCTGAGGTCAACATTTGATATTTGAATCCATGAAATTGGCGTGCAGCTATGTTTTTTGGATGTGAATGACTTGCTTCATGGCCTTGATTTTCCGCTTAAAAATTGTCTCTTTGTGCTGCAGGGAAAACCACATTTGTGAAAAGGCATCTCACGGGCGAATTTGAGAAGAAATACGAACGTAAGATTGATTTTTATCGTCTTTGCATCAGCTTCAATTGTATTGTGTAACTTGTTTTTAGTAGTTGTTTTGAGCCTTTTCATATTCTTGTCTGAGCAGCTACCATTGGTGTCGAGGTTCATCCATTGGATTTCTTCACTAACTGCGGGAAAATTAGATTTTACTGCTGGGACACAGCTGGTCAGGAGAAATTTGGTGGCCTTAGAGACGGTTACTAGTATGTGATCTAATGTTTTAGTAGATCGATTTATTGATTTACGGATATGCCCTAAACGAAAGACATTGTTTTCTTCATTGCCTTTAGTGTTGCTAACATGGAACTGTGTTTTACCACTTTTCAGTATCCATGGACAATGCGCCATTATTATGTTTGATGTGACAGCTAGATTGACTTACAAGAATGTCCCGACATGGCATCGCGATCTTTGCCGGTATTTGCTGACCCATTTATTTTTAGCTTAGTTTTTGTCGAGCGGTAGTTGAAAATTGTGTGATGATGATATATTCTTTCAGTGTTTGTGAGAACATCCCAATTGTGCTCTGTGGGAACAAGGTTGATGTGAAGAACAGGCAGGTGAAGGCGAAACAGGTTACCTTCCACCGCAAGAAGAATTTGCAGTACTACGAAATATCGGCAAAGAGTAATTACAACTTCGAGAAGCCCTTCTTGTACCTTGCCAGGAAACTTGCTGGGTATGTCTTGATTCCTTTGAAAAATCGATGAATTAGTAAAAGGTTTGATTTTTAAGTTGTTGTTGAACTTACAGAATTGCCACTTCATATCTTGAGATTTTATGTTCTGGTTGTAGGGATCCTAACTTACACTTTGTTGAGTCTCCTGCTCTTGCCCCACCTGAAGTTCATATTGATTTGGCTGCTCAACAACAGTAAGCCTATTCTTTTCTCTGTCGATCTTTTTGAAGAACAATAAATAGTTAACTAGATGATGATGATTATGAGAATGATGATCAATTATCGATCCAATCCAAAAACAAGATTGCCACTTGGTTTCTCGGGTTTATATTTTGATGTTTCTAATTTCACATAACTTTATTTTGCAGGCACGAAGCTGAACTTGCAGCAGCAGCTAGCCAACCTCTTCCTGATGACGATGATGATGCTTTTGATTAAACAGATATACTCAAAAGCTTTGATTTCTCTCATGTGTTTCTTTTGTGCCTTGCCAAATTTTTCGCGTGTTTTATGGGATTTGAGGGGTTTTCTTCCACTCCATTTTTTTTATATTTGAGTTTTTGTTTTTATAACTTGTAGTTTGTGATGGTTGTTGTTGTGCCTTCAACTGCTCTTGGATTGTGATAGACTTTGTTGAAGATGGTTTTGATCTTCAGAATGTTCCTTGCAAGTATTTCTTCATGTTGCCTTTTGATGTGATGTAGACCGTATAAACAACCCATATATCTTTTGTGTTTTGATTCTTTTCTTTGTCATTTTACTTGCTTTTGCATGGTCTGCAATATCATAATTGATAAAATTAAATACTAATAGTAATATAACTTGATATTCAATTGAAAGAACAAGCCTTAAAGCTATGATGTTTTTTATATTTCATCTAATACATTTTAATTACCAGATATATTCATCTAATACATCAAAGTATTGAAACAAGTATCTTTCGTTAAAGTAATGAATATGAAGTGTTTGAACCCCAACTTTTTATCATTTGTTTTGATATAGCACATAAGAGTAACTTGGTTAGACCGGATAATATTACGGGTTGAGGATAGCTCATCCTTACTAAGGGTTCATCATATACAAGTAGCTCATTTGGAGGACCTGCATGAAGAGAGCTCGGCTAAGTGGTAGCTCGGCTGTTGATAGCACTTGTGGATATAGAGGGCTCGGCTAAGTAGTAGCTCGACCTTTGGTAAGACTTATGAGTGTATAGAGCTTGGCTCAGTAGTAGCTCGGCCTAGTCACAAAACCCAGGGTTGGAGAGAGGTTGAGACAGTAGTAGCACTCCTTAGTAGTAGCAGGGCTGGGAGGTGCGGAGAGCTCATTAAGCCGAGCTGAAGGATAAACTAATGTAACGATTACGTAAGGCGGTCTACACGGGACACGTGTAAAGACAAGATCAAAAAAAAACAAATGATCTAACAGACGAGGACAAAGCGTACGGAGGAAGCTAAAGATTTCATATAAATAGGTAAGATGAGGAAGAAGGTAAAAGTTAATCACATTCTACAAACCTAACAATACATACACTTACATCAACTTTCCTCTATCCTTTACTGACTTGCGTCAGAGGTTTAACGTTGGTAACACCTCCCGACGTCTTTGCAGGTCTCCGGAGAGCAGGCGGTCGAGGATCAGTGGAGAGCCGGTTCGAGGTGCGAGAGCACATCATGTTTAACAACTCAAGAACACACGAGTATTGAATTTGAAGATTTTGAACCCGAACTTTTTGTCACCTGGGTTAAACAGCTCAAGTGCACACGTAAGAGTTGAAAATTCCAAGTATTTGAACACGAACATTTATTACTTGTTTGAGAACTATAGAAAACACGAAACAATTGAGAATTTGAAGTATTTGCACCCGAACTTTTATCACTTGTTTAACAACTCAAATCAGAAAACATTGCGAGTTCAAGGGACGACAAGGCACCAAACCTGGCCTGGCATCATCTTTCGTTTTAACTATTGGAAGCACATGATTCATTGCCTTAAATTGCATAGGCCAGAAAGATCAAGTGCAGAATCAAAGTATGTCCACAAACATCCTCAAAACAGTTAACACAAGTGCTGCCAAAAGTTTAATAGAATGGTGATCAATGCTTATAAAAAGCACTAAAAGCTAAAAAACAAACAGTAGAAGAAAATTTTCCTGCATTCTGTTAATGAACAAGAATTCAACATGTATCCTTAGTTAAAAGATACAAACAGTCTGCACAGATAAGATACAAAAAGTTACACAGTTATCCCAATTCTGTCATGATAATGCTTATTTTCACTCTTATCTAACACTAACAGCCATATCAGTGGAAATTAGGTGCTTCAGCTCATTCAAATGCTCGTCATTCGAAATACGGAGCATAATACGAAGATTTGTCAACATGGCCTCCTGTTCCCAACTCAAGGGACCAGAAGCATGCAAAGCTCTCAACGTGCTACGATAAGCATGCAACTCTAACTCTCTTACACTAACCTCAAAATCCTCGTCTGGAGGATGAGAGAGAAAGATTTTTCTCCCCGAGCCTGACCCATAAAAAGACTCAGCATCACTAATAAGCGTCTCTGCTTCTTGGCCATTTGTAGATAGAAAATGACTGTACGAGTTTTTGAAACTGTTTGAGACGATACTACAACTCCCAACCGAACAAGCATCGATGTCTGAAGTATTCAAATCAGAGCCTTTGAACGAGGAAAAGCCGAGCACATGGTTTTTTCGTCTTTCAGTAAATTCGTTTGATATTACGTTTGCTTGATACTTTTGGCCTTCTTTCTCGATCTTTTTAAATTTTTGCGGGGGCCCGTTTTGTGCTTCGAAAAGCAAGGAAGTGTTGCCTTGGACAGTCGACAGATGCCTTTTCAGTCGATTGCTTCGGAAGTAGTTTGATGATGTCAGTGGTCGGCTAGTTATGATGTTGTCCCCTAATTGAGAACCCTAAACAGAAACAAACAAACATCGAATGTCAAGAAACTGAACTAATCCAAAAACCTCGATATAGTGAAAAGGGCGCAAATGGTTAAATAATCAATAAGAAAAAAGAACAAATAGAACTTAGGAATATACATATATATATATATATACCTTTCCCATCAGAATCCACTTCTCACCAAGCCAGGTTTGTCTTGTCCTGATATCCGAGCTGTCAATAGCTAAATCCCGTGAGCACCCAAATATCCTAACTAGAAACTGCATTTGCCGAATTTTCCTATTTCTTTTAATTTCACTTTGACATCCCAAAGTATCCAAAACAACACCAAGCTTCCAAGAATCTTGATAAAACACCTCCACAATATCACCAGCAGCATAGCTTTCGGCACCTTCAACTAAAGGAGGTTGTGGCCTCATAAACTTACTTGAAACCATCTCCATAATTTGGCTCCTAGGCGAATCGGGATTCGAATCATACTGTACGAGATGTTTATGGCCGCTGATAGATAAAACCTTCCCGGCACGCCATGAAATTGGCCACTCCTTATTGTTCAAAACCTCCACTTTATCCCCTATTTTGAATCTCATAATATTATAATACACAATCACTCGAGCAAATATTCAAAAGCCTGTCAGTGGAGAAAAAACAAGACTTCAGAGAAAAACACATAAAAAATGAGCTAAATTTACATCTTAAAGCTTATTGAAACCAAGCATTCCCTTGAAAACAAACATGTAACATGTTTTTTGGATACCAAGACAAATATTTAACAAAATCTATGGAAAAATAAAAAGATCCTAACACATCACATATCTTCTTTAAAGAGCTGCTGATCTTTCAAATGAGTTCTAAACAATATTATCAACTGAACCTCCGCACAAAGTATTACCTCAAAACCCAACAAGAAGTCATTACTAGATTGTAATAATAGGAGACAAACATAAACAAATGTATATGTGCATATAAACATCGACAGCTAAATCTACTGAGAAAAAAGGAAAATTACGGATATATTATCAAAAAAGTAAACCTGCTCAAATCATCAAAATAAATGAAATTTCAGCCAAAAAACGATGGAATTAGGCAAAAACCACACAAAACCCGCAGTAATTTACAAAATCCCCAAATTAAAACAACTGAACCTCGATCAATCAACAGATTCAAAAAACGAGAAATGAATTTGAAAAGATCACTGACCTTTATCGATAATTAAGGTGAATTACATAAACAAATCCGCCTCAATTAGGTGGATTTGATTGCTTATTATCTTAAACAATCGATTCTGATTTTCAGTTTAACCGTCTAGGGCTTGTTCCTTTTGCTAAGGACAAATGAATTGGGGCCAAAATAACATAAAGTACAAGTTTTGAAAAAAATAAAAGAATTGAAATGATAATGGGCTGAGGGTGACCAGATAGAGGGGTAAACTGGGTAATATACTACAAATAATCAAATAAAATAAATAAATAAAAATTGTAGGGTACGAATGTGCTTTTTAATGAAACTACCTAATTCGTGTTAGAGATGGAAAGAATATGACATCTGACGCACAATATCCGTGTGATGCACTTTTTCCCTTTTTTTTTTTATTAATAATTTTTTTTTTTTATAATTGTTCAATTAATTGCTATTATTATGGTTTTAGTATATTTTTTTCTAAAAAAAAAATTATACAAATTCATTTGTAAGATAATTTAGTTATGAAACATTTTGACCCACCATATTAAGTGAACAAAGACACATATTTATATTGTCAGATGTTATAATTTTATAATTATGAAACAGTTTGACCCCGTCAAAACGTAATTTATAATTTTCTAATTATTTGTTATTATTATAGTCTTGGTATAATTTTTTTTTCTAAATTTATACAAATTTGTTTATGACATAATAAAACAATTAGATAATTCGACTTGTCATATTAAGTGAATAAAACCATATACTTATATTGTTAGGTATAGGTGTTATTATTTTTAATACTTTGTTACAAATTTGCAAATATATGTAACTTAATAATTAGATCCAACTAACAGAATAACTATTGTCATAATTTAATTTTCATAACATTTTTTATTTAAGGTACAAGATACATTATTGAAAAGTCGATTGTGATAATTGTGTTTTTTTGGACACGATTCTACGTGCAATACTTGGGAAAAAACATCAAGGTGAAAAAAAAGGGAATAGACTTTCTAATTGCTTGTCAAAATTGACGAAGTTAAGTTGAATGCATTGAAAACATGGTTTTGTTTGTTAAAAAATTCAAAAGGTTAACTGGAGATGTCCATTTCAGCTCAATCGAGTGGAAATTAACCTTACAAACACATGCATAAATTAATGTGAATTATATCGTGAGTCACGCAACAATCCATTAACAAAATATACATACTTATAAAGCAAAATGATAAAAGAAAAAGGAAGATATGTATAAAAAAAGGTAGCTTTCACATTTTTCTCATGGATTTCTCAAGTTTCTAATATATAAGCATAGTTTCACAAGCCAAANAAAAAAGCATAGTTTCACAAGCATACTGCATATCTATGAATCTATTTTCATCCTTTAACATTAGTTGACATTTCTGAAACATTAGCAAGCATTATTACGGCCGACTCTGAATCAGCTTGACACCTCAAATTTTAGTTCCATAAGACGAGTTTCGATCTATATTAGTACTAGAAGGCTACGGCTGTGCAATGCACAGCCGGCCCAAGGAAGGTAAACATTTGATAGGTATGAAGATATCAAGCGATAAGTAAAATATAGGTATCAACATTACATTAGTGAAATACTAATACACAACATATAATCATCAAATAAGACAGAGTAGTTGGTACACACCAGGAAAATATACCAATTTTGCATTAGAATTCAAAAGCATCTATGTGTAAACAGATGCATAAAATTCTAGGCAATACAATTGGTAAATACAAAAGTTTAGTTTTTGTTGCATATATGCCATTAAGAAGGTACAAAATGCAGCAACATATATATGTCAGTAGATTAATTGCTGCAATAGTTGGCAATATAGATACAAAAAACAAAAGACACAATCCATACAATATGTGTTTACAAAAAGTTTTAATGTGAAATCACAGAGCAACTAATCCATTTTTGGCCTACTTTTCTTTGTCGGGCTTGCATCACACATCGCACTGGTTTGATGAGTTTGCTGTGTGGGTGATTCAGGAATGTTGGTGGATGGAATGCTGGTTCCTGAGGTGGAGGATTGATGAGAGTCGAAGCTGATGCGTTTTTTTACCGTTGATTCTGAAGCTGCAATTGCTGTAGGCTTTTCACGTGGTGGAGTGAGAGAGTTAAGAACATTTTTTAGCGTTGGACTGAAGAGCTCTTTGTCTGTTATCTGTTTTGCGAGTATAGATTGGTTGCAGTAAGATGTTTGTTCAATAATAATTTCATAGAATTTTCATATATGTCAGTTTTTGATATTGTACCTTGTTTGAAGCTGAGGCTGACCCTTCTTTTCCTAGCTCTGTAGGTGGAAGCAAATTTTTGTCGGTTTGCATGCCAACAATTGTATAAAGCTTAAGGACAATGTGATGAGTTGATTCACAGTGTTTGATGAAGCAAACCACATGATGTTCCCTCATTGCTGCTGCAATCTGAGCAGTCAAATCCACTCCCTGTAACCAGAAGCAACATGTATTTTACAATAGTTAAATAAAAATGATCTAGAATACCTTGTAAGTGCCAAATTATGATGATTGATTATGGAAAGCAATCAACAGTGGAACAGATACTTTTATTTTGTCCAAACCAACAACAATAGGGTAATCACTGCAATAAACAACACATGAATATAGAAGGTAACAAAACCTTAATCCCTATAGTGTTTTTATTTGTTCAGTGTTTAAGGCAAGAAAATCTTAATTCCATCTTTGGTCAGTGTATAAGGCAAGAAAATCTCAATCCTACCTTTAAGAACAATTTATGATGAACTCAGTTTTCTACAAATGATCGAAAAACCTAGCCAAAAAACAACAAAGAGAAATAATGGTAAATATAATGTGTGCAGTTATTTTTTTATTCATTTTTCAGCCTTCAACCAAAGCTGTGACTTTTGCCGAGAACTTATAAACATTGAAATCAGCTTGTAATGCAAAGCAAATCCTCCAAAAATAGATATATATGAAAAACAATGTCATTTGCAGTTGTGTGTGTTTATAGGCACCTAAAATCAAAAGAACCCAAAAAAAATATAAAAAAAAATGTAAAAGAATTTTATTAGAAAGGCATAGATCATAGAAGATGACAAAAATTTGTAGTACTTAAGCTGAGCATAGGAAGTATGACGGTTATAAATAGTTAAAAGGATAATTAAAGCTATCGGTTTCCATGAGGAGACACAAACCAATAAGCGATATCAGTAAATTATCTGTACTATTTTTGTTTTGGTTCCTGCATAAATTATTGTATATAAATATGTCAAATAACCTGTTGTTCAGCTTGATATAAGTCAGTCCCATTAAATGGAATCACTCTTTCGGCATCTGAATCATACAGCATTGCATGTATGTTTCCTGTCTCATCTTCAATCGCAATTGGCAACCGACACCTAATTGTTATAAATAAAATAAAAGGTAATGTGTGTTAGTTTTAGGCATATACCGTTGTCTGAACAATTGATAAAGTTCCTGTTAATATTAAAGATATTTAATAACTTATGTATAAGTTCTGTAGCATTATACTGATGAAATAATTATCATAATTTTGAGAAAGAAATTTGGCATCTTACTATGTAAAGTACATATTAAAATAAATTAAAAATATTAGTAGAAGACAATAGAGCGTGGTTAATATTAGTATACAGGACAATATTCAGAAGAATGGAAATATAGAATATTTTAGTTAATTTGGTTTTGGTTTAGTGTTGTGTGGAAATAAGTTTTGTTTATTTGCAAAATATTCTTTGTAAGCAGAATGGCAGGTGGCACACACTAAAGATGAGGTACATGAAAATTAAGATAGTAAAAAGTTTTAAATTCTTTGAAGCTTATAATTGAAATAAGGCATAACTATATAAGTATATATCTGTAGTTTGATTTTGTTTTATTCATAAAAGTTGAAATTATTTAATGATCAATTAAAACCTTGCTTCGACCAGTGTATCTTCCCTGCAGCTTCGACATTTGACTGGCATATTTGGAGGCACATTATAAATTTTTCGGCAATTGTTGCAAGTAGCTGTCCACAAAGACTTGTTGTCTCCCAAATATTTCAGCTTCCCAGCAACCCAACAAGTTTTAGTCTGTCAAACAGATTGTTAAGTCAGTGTTTGTAAATTTTTAACACTAAACATATGGTGGTTAACATGTTATTTTACTTGCATAAGCGTAATTTGCTATAGCTTACGTATTTGATAGAAGATAGTGCGCGTTGGACAGTTACTATCTCACTGGCTAATGGGTATGGAAACAATTTGTTTGTGTCTCTATACACTCCTTCCTCCACCAGTTTTGCAACATTTGCTTTGTTTTCAGTGTACCTATTCAAGAGTATGTGAGAAATAACCAAAAGGTGTGGTGTAATATTACAATTATTATATTTAAAATTGTTTAATACGTACCATTGCTTCAATCTGTCAGCAGCTAATATTGGTGGATTTATCATCAAGCAAGTTCCAGTCTTAGTTGATAACGATAGCCCTTTATAAGGTAATTGTGTTAGTAAGACATGAGTAAAGAATCAGTTGTAATGTAGAAAACAGAAATTGCGATGTATGATACCATTAAATGTCGTAACCCTTGTTCTCATGGATAAAATGATGTTCCCAGCTGCTACTGTATTGGCTAAGTGTTGACCAATATCATCTTCTGTTTCAAACTGATTCCAAAGAGTCAAAAGGACAGGCTTTTCCCTGATAAACAGACAATTATAAGTATAACTAATATATTGGAAATAAAATTATGAGGTAGGATAAAATTCTCACTCTTCATTAACAATGACCAACTCTCGGGCTGTGTTTCTTTGGCCCAGACTCTTGACCGGAAAAGCATGCACGGCAACACCAAGGAGGTCTAGTAAATTTTAAATTGAACAGTGTGAGTTGGTTTGTTGTTTAAGAAAAGGACGCACAAAATTTAAGTAAAGTAATATTGGAAATTCTAGCCGAATGAGCTTACTTTTGGGGTTCTCTGTATCTGCGTATTTGTGCAAGTCCACAAACGGATGAACTTCGATTTGGCATGGCAGCTGAGGGGGCACTTCTTCTTCGAATTCTTCAACCAAAGTTTTTTTGTGCAGGAGCCAATTGAATTCATAAGGGCCAACTTGGTATAGCGGGGTTTCTGGCCGCACTTTTGCTCCAGTAAGGTAGTATCACTTGTATGGAAGCAGCAACCCATCGACGCGCGGTCAAACTATAATTGAGTATTACGTATTCTACTCAACTTATGTTATATATTTAAGTAAAGAAAAGTTTGGAGCTTTGAATGTTTGTTTTTTCCTTTGAATGAGAAGGATTCCCTCATTTCTTTCACTTGTGATTCTTAAGATATTGTTCAAATTTTATTTACACATTTTAGCTCTAATTTTATTTTAATCATTTTTTATTGTGGCAAGTTAGATTATGTTTATTTTCAGTAACTTAAAAAATTAAAATCAACTACAGTGAACATTTAACACATTTCGTCCAGGGCTTTATAATGTTTAGGACCAACCTGGTCTCTATATAAATATATAAGTTTCTCGAGCATAGGTGTAGCTTCATCGTTTCATAATTTTGTAGCTTCATTGTTTCTAGGGAGGATTGTCCTCAGCAGAGGGACCAGCCTTAGGTCGAGAGGTCAGGGGCAGGGGAAGGGGAGGTCGATGAGCTGCAGGTCGAGCAATAGCATGGTGTACGAGCACTTCTTCTTCTCCCTTATCCTCCGAATCGACACAAATTCTATGGAGGCGACGCCTAGAGAGGACTAGGTCGGAGGCTGAAGGATAAGGCAGAACAGACGAATGGTTGGGAGGATTGCTGGAAAGTAGAACAGGGCAAAAAATAGGAGGAGAAAGAGGTCAGACAGAAAAAGTTAGAGGGCGAGCTCCGCGGAGAGCTCCCGAGGACATGTCGCAGCCAACGGATGCAACTTCAGAGTTCGAGGTAGCACGTGAATCTAAAAACACAACAAATAAGAAAGAAAAAGAAAACAAAGAATTTAGGGTTTAAAGAAAAGAGTTTTGCGGTACAGAGGTCTTAGGAGGATTACCAAACTGAAAACAAGAAAAGATAAAGTCAAAAGGATAGAGAGATCCGAAAACTTACTAAGAGACATCATGATCCCGGAGATTGAGAGCTCGAGCGGTGGAGTGCGGCGGCGGACAAGGAGACTGCATTTTCACCAAGAAGAAGGCACGAAGAATATAAATTAAGCACAAATCATGAAAGTGAAAAATGGACAAATGAGGGGAAACAGGGTATTTGTAAGGAACGAGCGAAGGATTCAGAAGGTTGTGGGTTCAAGGTCATCCGATGAAGCTCGAAATAAACGGTTTGGATCAACAACAAAAGGTCGAGTGTTCAGAGTCATCAGACGAGGCTCCAGATCAACGGCAGGATAAAAAGGCATAGGTGAAAGGACAAACATTAAATGTAAAATTTGAACAGGCGCGACATACAAGGAGGCACTACAGACGAGACGGTTACTTCTTGCGTACACTTTGAATTTCAAAATAAAAATCGGGAATAAGCATAAAGTGGTCGGGTTTGGTAGCCCTATAGAAATAACAACTCAAAGAAGTCGGTTGGTCTCATGAACGGTCGAACTCAAGCTCCAAAATTCAAGAAATGGGTGGAGAGGTCGAAATTTAGTATGGATATCAAGAAACAGAAGCGTTAAGTCGGATAACATAAAAGCATGGTCAAGAAAACATAACTAAGAGCAAGAATATTTATTTTGGGATCAAGCTATTTCAACTCGACTAGAGTCATGGGACTAAATGATATGAGATATCATACCGGGTTAACCGGATCAATGAAACCAAGTAACTAAACCGGATTAACACAACAACTTGAGTCATGATCAGAGATCGACCTGAAGGCATGGACCAGACAGACGGTGACCTGAAAGGAGCAGCTTACTCCACGAGATGAACTAACATCGAACTTAACCTAAGGGACCTATTTCGACCTCATGAGCAATAAGGGAGCCGAAGAAGAAGATGTTGTACCTAGTGACGTGGACCTGGTCCTGTGAACAAGACAAAAAGGCATTTAACTCGAGGATAACGCCATACGGGGACTAGACCACGTGTCGCATCGAGATTGAGTCGTCTGCACACTTGACAAAGCCTGGCCACCTGCAGCACTATACATCGTACGGACGGATAACTTGGGAAGTAGGGTCAACTCTCTGGGCAGACTTGGGGAGCAATACACCACACCCCTATATAAATGGGTGTGATATGTTAGTTTTAAGTTTATATTATCTACACACATCTACTGTTCATCATCTTTATCCATATATTGACTTAGGCATTGAAGGTTCTTCGTCGGAGAAACCCCCTTCCGGTGTTGAGTTCTTGTTCAAGGTAGAAGAAAGCAGATCCTTGTCATGTTAGCTCGAACTAAGACAGAGCGGAGTCCGTTTCACCATTAAACTTAATTATGTAAACGTGGATTGTTTATACATGATAATTATAAAAACATTGAATAATTTAAGTTGTAAATGTTATTTTAAAATTTCTCAACTTTTGTATATATAAAATAAATCATATTTAAACGAGTTTCTATTTGACACACATATGTTATATATTAAAAAATAGATTTATTAAAAGTAATCAATATTATAAAATAGTAACTACATTTTCAATGAAATTAAATTTACATATCGGGAAAATTGTGATATTATAATATAAAATGAGTAAATCATAAAAATGTCACATTATTTTAAATATAAATAATAATTCAATTTTTATAAAAATATATAAAACTTTTTAAAATTTTATTAACACTCAGGCCAAGCTGTATATCCGGATAGCCTGGTTTCAGGTTGACCCGCTGACCCGACCCAACCTGAGCGACGCACACAAAAGTGGGTTTATCATGTGGTTTAGGTTTTTTCTCTCACTCATCATCACACGAGCCCTGACTTTCTCTCTCATCGCCGCGTTTCTTGTGGGGAAGGAGCTGAGATTTCAGCTGCACACCGTCTCACAGGTGCTTGAAACCCTAGCTCCGACTGACTTTTAATCTATTCCTTTGTGTGTGTTACTCGTTGAATGATGCTTGTTAGTTGTGTAATTATCTGATCGCAGTTCGTCTGGATTTCCCTCTCACCTTCCTCGGTTACTGGCGGGATTTGATGCAGAGTTGAATACATTTGATCTAATTGTTGTTTTCTCCTGAGTTTTGGTTGATGGCGTTTCAGTTGTCGAGTTGATTTCCGTGTAATTCGTGTTTTTGGGTAGAGAACATGTTTAGTAGGATTTAGGGTTTGGAACTTGTATCGATGTTTTCTCTTTCATCGTCACGTTTCTAATGGGGAAGGAGCTGTGATTTCAGCTGTATCTATTCGCAGGTGCTAGAGACCATAGCTCAGAGTGGTATTGGGTTCTGTGTGTTATTTGTAGAATGATTTTTGTTGGTGCTGTAATTATCTGATCGCAGTTTGTCTGGATTTCGCTTCCATTTTCTTTGGTTCTCGGCGGGTTTTGAGACAAAATTGGACTCATTTGATGCAGCTATTGTCTTTCGTGAGTTTTTGTTGATGACGTTTTCAGTCTTTGAGCTGGTTTCCTTGCAGTTCTGTATTTGGGTAAAGAACATGTTTAGCAGGGTTTAGGGTTTGGAACTTGTATGGATATTATCGGGAATCTGCTTTGATTTCTTATGCATGTGAACTTGGAATTGGTACTTAATCGTTTCACTGCTTTGTACTTACACATATGTTATCTGGGTGATCTCCCTTGCTTTTCTCTTTTATTCACCCCCTTTCCTTTTGCAGGATAGTTCACTTAATCAAAACTTATTGACGTAAGCTCGATGCGCCAAGTTTGCATTCACTCTCTTTAGATCTTACAGTGGACATAGCCCATACGGCATCCATGATGTGCTTATATTATTGATTGAGAAACATTTTTGTTTTTTCAAATGGTCATTTATGAGTGGTCTGATTAACTTTTTTGATTTTTCATCAGTATTGATGTTAATGTGAGCTAGTGAAGCTTGGTTATGGAGAAAATGAATAAGAATAAGGTGTTCGTATTTTTGGATATCTCGGTTGATGGAGATCCTCTTGAGAGGATGATTATCGAGGTACAGTTTTTCACTCTACTTTTGGGAGATTTAACATTTTTTTTTTCCAGTGTAATAGAACAAACCAGATGACATGGTCCTGTTCTGTTATTACAAATGCAGCTCTTCACTGATGTTGCTCCCAAGACTGCTGAAAACTTTCGTGCACTTTGTACCGGTAACTTTTTTTGCTTGACTTTTATCATATTCACATTTATTATACTTCATATTTTTACATTTGGTAATTTTCCTTGCCCTTTTATCTTAGTGAACTTATTAAACTTTCTATAATTGATAAGTTTCTCTGGCTTCTGAGTTGGTTTATAGAGGCTGGCGCTTCTAGTAGCAGTGTTCATCAACCACATAGTGCAATATGCAAATGAGTTTTCTTTGGAATCTTTCACTCAATTTTGTTGAATCCCATCACACCTTGTACCATAATGTATATGTTCTTCTCGTCTCGTCTGAACTGTCTATTTTTTTCAGGAGAAAAAGGTGTCAGCCTTAAAACTGGGAAGCCCTTACACTATAAAGGGACCTTTTTTCACCGTATTGTGAGAGGACAAGCTGCTGAGGTATGCGATTTAAGATTTCATTTGTCATATGAGCTTATATTGCTAATTTTCCCTGGCCTCTGTATTAGATTATAATACAAAAATCTATTTCTTCTAGTCAGTTATCCTTGTTTATGATGTGACAGGGCTGATGATCACGACTGCATGTCTTGTGATATAGTTTTGAGGTTATACTTAATGAGTTGTATAAATCTCAGAATTCATATAATATTGCCATAAACAGCATCATCTGCATTATCGTTTTAATAAATAATGATTGACAACCTTTAATTATTTTACAGGCAGGGGACTTCCTCAGGCGAAATGGTAGGTTTGCGGCACCTTGATATAAATTTTTATTTGTCCTTTTCCATATTTTAAGATGAACATGCATTCGACTTTGCAGGTGAATATGGAGAGAGTATATATGGTGGTAAATTTCCAGGTGAGAAGCAGTTCTATTCATCCTTTTATGGAACTCTTTTGTATGTCATGTAGTGGGGACTCATTGTTTATTGCATAAATACATCTATATTGAAAGCTTGGCACAATAAGAAAACAATTGCCAAAAGTACGAAAACATTAATTTATTTCTCTTACCTTCTTGTTGTCCTGAAAACTACTGGGGTTCCTTTCTATTGCCTGTGAAGGTTGGGGCTGAGTTTGATCTTATTCTCGCTATATTGGAGCTTCAGTTCACATGGTATTGGAACCATTGTTTTCTCATCCTATGGTAGGAATTGTTCTCCTTGATTGAACACTAAACTTTGTTTGTTTTTTAGCTGCTGCGTAGCCTGTGGAGTGATGATAAGAGCAGCTCATGCGAATGAGTATTAGAGTTGTTTGACGTTAATGAATCATTAATCATGAAATCCTTTGAACTGTGATGTGGGAACTATTGTAGTCCGGAAAAATACTGTGTAATTAGTGGACTCTATCAATCTAATAAAATGGTTAATATATCCATCTACGATAAACATAAGCTATTTCCATCTGGATTCCGTGTACTGTGTGAACAATCTTGATTTCTGTGGCATCGTTGTTGTCATTGCATCCAATCTGCTATGACTCTGAGGCTATTGGAAGGCCGGCCATAAGATATACAGTTTTCTTGTTTTAGTTTTGAGGTCTTTCTCTTTCATATGCTCCACTCCTTCTTAGAACTTTTCTGTTTTGAATTCAAATCGACATATACTTTTTTTTCCGCTTTTTGTTGGATGCAACTGTGGTACATGATCTTGTTCAATAGCATAGGGATGACATATTTCGTATCATGTTTCTTGTATGATCATTTGGTGTTACAATAATGCTAAGGAGCCAACAGTTGGCTCCATATCATTACTGTTTGGTGTTATTGCTAAACCTGAGAGGACAATTAATACCTGAATTAACACGCACCAGGGAGGAAAAAAAATATGTAAATCGCTAAGAAAGCTTATCACTACTGAAAAAAGGTGGAAATCAGTTTGAAGCTTCAATTTTATATTATATAGCTGTTGCCTCTTCAATGTATTCCATCAATATTGTGGTTGCTGTCATGTTGGAAGTTTCCATGCCGAGCAATGGAATCACCAACTAAGTCATGTAGTTCATAGTATCCGCCACCCAAATTCTCATAACAATTAAGCTATCCAACTGTGTTCTAAAATAGTCTATTAACACAAAATTAATTTTAACTGGTGTATGCATTTAATTATATTGAAGGTTAGCAAAAATACGACCTCACTCAAATTGTCTAGTTACGATGAATAAGTGTTTTTTATGAAAGCTTCGTCTTCCATCTTGCACGTAGTCTCATGTTAGGATAAATTGGCATGACTAACAAAAGGTGTGTTTTGTTGTTGACTAATTATTACCGCCCCTGCAGAACTGTGTTTAGCTTTAAGAAAATTTGGCACGATTCAGTCATTTTTCTCCTTTATGCCTTTCATGTTTTTTCTGCATAAGTACAATGATGCATTATTGATTGGTCCACGGTTCTAAAATGGCATGGTACATCACAGAATGCTACTTGTAGCACTCAAGATTATTAGATAGCTTTGACCCATGTGATAAGAGCACATTGATTGTGTAGGATATTCCCAATGGATGGCCCGATATAATTTTTGCTTGTTGGGATGATGACTTGTCAATACTTGTTGCATGTATCTTTCCTTGTTATTATTTTGCAAGTTTTATATAATCTCGGGAAATCAACTGATGTTTTCTGGCATCATGAATCTCGTTTGTGTTAAATGGTTGGTGCATGAGTTTTTCTGTTGTTGCTTTCAGTATTTCGACGCTGAAAACTGATACGTAGACAATTTTCAGATGAGTCTCCAAACTTGAGTCACGATTCTGCTGGTTTGTTGTCTATGGCAATTGCTGACCGTGATGAAAAGGGCTCTTTGTTCATTGTCACCTTTAAGGCTGATCATCGTCTTGATAGGTATGTTCTTCTATTGTTTCGTGGATATTTATTTCTTAGTGTTTATAGTAAGATTTTATGCCGACAACAGTTATCAATTATCTGTTGTTGTTTCTTGTTATGGAGAGAAGACATTTTGTAGTTAATCTTCTTATTATGCATAACATATCCTTTCATTAATTTACCGAAATGTCTAATACAACTAGCAATGCTGCATAATTTCATCAAGTTTCTAAGTTTTTTGTGTACCCATTTGCATTTAAGCATCTTTGATGTATCTTCTGTCCTAGCTGTTAGATTTCACATCACTAACTACCAATTCCAGCCTGATACTTCAAAAAATGCAATTCCTGTGCCATATGAGTTTAGTTGCTGGGTGAAATCTACTGTATTCCACATCCGGGAGTTCATTTAGCAAAAACTTTGAAATAGGGAGCTCAATTCTATTAGTTGTGGTGTTATTGTTGCTTGCATGGCTTCCATAATTTTTGTTAACAGTTGTTTACACCTCATTGATTCTATCAACAGGAAAAGAGTTGTCTTCGGTAAACTTGTGGATGGGTATGAAGTGTTGAAAAAGATCGAAAATGCTGGAGATGATAAGGGGAACCCTACTGTGACAGTGAAAATAGTCAATTCTGGTGCATTACATGATGGTATGATTTTTAAAATTAGTTTTATTTTATGTATATTAATGAATTATTCTATGTAGCAGCTCATAGTTTGCTTTAGGTCCTTATAATCTTTATGAATCAATTCGTGACCTGTTCAGGTAAAAAGATAGAGAATGACTTGAAAATGGCGAAGTATGCTGTAGAGGAAATTAATCGCTTGGTAAACCGCAAAGGGAAACACAAGAAATCTTCAAGGAAAAAGAGAAAAAGAAGAAGATACTATACCTCCGAATCAGATACTTCATCAGATACTGATACGGATTCTTCGGAATCAGATACTGATTCTGATACTGATGCTTCCTCATTAAGTGACACCAGCTCTTCAAGTGATGATCGGCGTAAGAGACGTAAGAGATCCAAGAGGGACAGACATAGGCGTGCAAGAAAGAAGGATCGGCGACGTGAGAAAAGACGAAGGAGGCGGGACAAGAAGAATAGGAAATCTAAAAGGTACACAAACTTCGTTGATCGAGTGACGAAATCATTGCCGGTTATTTTTAATCAATATTGTTCAGTAGTATATAGTCCTTGCAAACTTGTTAGAGCTAGTAATTCTTTTTAAATATGTGAGCAGGCTGCACATGAAGATTGTTAACCTTATAGTGTTGGAAAATGTTACGGTTTTTCTATCTTTATGATTTTAAATTTAAAGACGTGTGTAAATTGTTGTAGGGGTAATGCCTCAGACAACGAGGGAGACAATAAGTCCAGAGGTAGCCCTCAAGATGATGTTGCAGTTGGGGCATCTGATGTTAAGCATAAAAACACAAGTGAGATACTCGTCATGATCTATTCTTCACCCCCCACCACACACACCACGCACACACACACATACATACACACATGACTAATGTTATATCTTGCTGTGCAATGTCACTCTGAAGACAATCAATCTCCTCTGGTTGAACGAGAAAATGAGAAAGTTAGTCATAAGAATGGGGATGCCGCAGATATGTCAGACAGGGAGGAGGGTGAGTTCGCAGGAGAAAATGGACACCGTCAAAATAATAATAAAGGAGTAGTAACGGATTTGGACAGAACTGCCAACAGACATCCTGATTTAGTAGATGATCTTGCCAGCAAATCTAGGTCTGTTTTCCTTTTCATTTTTTGGCCCTATGTTATTTTCAGAACTAATGGAGCATTATAATGTCACCTCGAGGTTTTAGTCTAATTACAAGAAAATCAAGGTCTCTTTCATACTTCACATATATCACTTCCCATTTGTTTCCATTTTCACAAATTTGAACTTTCAAATGAGTAAATATTTATCAAGAAAATGCAAACCATGAAGAGATGCTGTGTATGCCACAAAGCCGTATTTCTAATTATCATAGGCATCAGGATTTCTTGAAATCCGATCAAAACCTCAAGGGTACCTTCAGTAATCATTCCTAGTCCATTTTTCCCTCCAAAATTCCGAGGATTTACTTTGATTGTGTTGGGCAGGAGTGGGAGCTTAAGTCCTAGAAGATCCAAGAGTCAGAGCATGAGTATTAGCCCAAGGCCAGCTTCCAGAAGAATCCCCAGTGTAAGCCGAAGCCCGCGGCCCGTCTCTCGAAGCAAGAGCATTACTCCGGCTAGAAGTGAAAGCAGCAGAAGCCCTGTAAGGAACACCACTAGGGAAAGAAGTGCCAGCATGAGCCCTCCTGCCAGGACCCGCTCTATTAGTAGAAGTGCCACATATTCTCCTCCTGTAAGAAGACTCTCCAGGAGCCCACCACCGTCCAAGAGGTCATCTCTAAGCAGGAGCTCAGGTAAACCTTCTAGAAGGAGTGCAAGCAGGAGCCCCATCAGGTCGGCCCGTAGAAGTTTCAGCAGAAGCCCAATCAGGTCGGCCCGTAGAAGTGTCAGCCGAAGCCCAATCAGGTCGGCCCGTAGAAATGTCAGCCGTAGCCCAATCAGGTTGGCGGCCCGTAGAAGTGTCAGCCCGAGTGGCAGTCCTGTGAGGGAGGCTAGAAGGGGTTACCACCGCAAAAGCCCGTCAGGGAGCCCAGGCCGCAGAGCAAGGTCGCCTGTTTCGAGAAGCCCGTCGGTTGATGGTTCTCCCAAACGCGTGAGGAGAGGGAGGGGATTTAGCGACCGGTACGCATATGTGCGGCGTTATCGGAGTCGGAGCCGATCACCCGATCGTTCACCCGTGAGGTCTTACCGTTATGGTGGTAGAGGAGATCGTGACCGGTAAGAAGAAAATCTATTTATTGGTGTCTCTTCTTTTCTGCCAATTGAAACATGCGCGTGATGTTTGTCATATCTAATTCTACCACATATATACGGAAAATGGCATTCTCTCTCTCTCTCTCTCTCACATATGCTATATATAATAGTGTGATCAAACCTCGAGAGTAATTTTTTTACCAACCTCATCGTGCATTTCCCGTGTTACTTAATATATGTCTTGTTCTTTGTTTTTGCTTCTGTAGATACTACAGAAGGTCACCTAGACGCTACAGGAGCCCACCTCGAGGAAGAACTCCACCAAGGTTTGTAATCACTTAAATTTTGTGCGCTTTTGCCTTTTGCCTTTTTTTTTTTTTTNTTCCGGCATTGACATCTACCTGATTATTGAGTTGGGCCTGTTAGTTAGCTCATTTATTCTTCATTTTATCAGTTGTGTCCTTTCATGCCTGTTCATTGAAGTATTCTTGTCTGCTTTGTACGAGGCTAATAGGTTATATCAACTTCCAATTGATTCTACTGTTAAAGGCACTTAAGTTTAAAAGGTTACACGAAGCACCTTAGGTTGTGGTGGTTCTGTATTCACACAACCTTTAGCCAGAAGGCATTTTTTCAGTTCTCTCCAAATTTTCGCAACTTTTCAACTCTGATGAAAACTTGGTTGTGCAGATACAGAGGTAGCCGGCGGAGCAGGACCCACAGCCCAAGCCCATCTCGCAGCCCAATCCGCTCCCGTGGCCGCCGCTACAGCAGAAGCCCAAGCCCAGTCAGGAGCCCACCACGGCCCGTCAGGCGGAAGTCCCCTTCGCGGAGCCCAAGCAGGAGCCGTTCAGAATCTCGTGGAGGCTCTCCGCAATCCCCGGCCCATAAGAGCCGCTCGAGATCGCCATCTGACGGAAGCCCACCACCACGCAATAGGGCGAATTTGGTATCATATGGAGACGGGTCGCCCGATTCTGGCCGAGATTGATAAAAATCGGGTTTT